TCAAAGAAATGTGTGCTTTCTAGATATCTCATTATTTGTCAGCAGTCCCTCATCAATCAGCCCAGATTTGTTCTGAAGTTCAGTATCCAGAATGGACAGGGCAGAGTGCAACCCAGGCCATAGACTGGCTAGAGAGCTGCTTTAGGTACTTCATATTGTATATTGTCCCCAAGACAGGTGCTCACCTAYGGAAGAAACTAAATCTGGTAATATTTTCCTATATATTTMTTTTCCTTAAAGACTCCATACCCTGGAACAAAACTAGATCTCCCTGGTTTTCCCCCAACACAAACACRCATTTTTCTTTAAACAAAGCAGAGTATTTTGTCATCTGAAGATGGAAAATACATAAAATTGATTACCAAATTTCCTCTTTCTCACAAACCAAGGAAAGAGAAAACTTAATGTAGTTAAAATGCATCAGATAAAACCCTTTGACACAATGTATAATTTACCTGAAGTACTCATGCACCAATGCATTATTTAGAGTGGGCTGAGTGGGACATCCTCCGCCAAAAATGAATATTATAATGAAATAGCTAATGAGGTGGCCAACAGCCATAGTGAATATATACATTTATGTCAACTTTGTTTGGATGTACAGGTCAAACATCATTACTTTCATATGCCGCATTTTAGCTGAATTTAATTATATAAATTATATAAATATTATATATATATATATATAATTTATTTTATGTATATATATAAATATAATTTATACATATAAATTAGATCTGTTGAACAGACTTTAATCCACATGGTAAAGCCCATGTCTTGCTGTTCTGTTACTTTCTAATGAATCAACACAGGAACTCCTAAAACTGGTTGAACAAAAATAAACTCAGTTGCTCCAGAAGAGTTAAAAGCATGTCTACATTATGGGTCTAGCTTGCTATAAAAATCACTTCTAATATCTTCTTCAAAAGGAAAATAAAAACGTCTATCCATTGAATAATATTCTCTTCTATTTTAGGTGTTGGAAAAGAGAGGAATAAACCTCTGGTGTTGCCCCATCCAGCACAGCCCAGAGAGAGGAAGTGAATCAGGAACACTGAGACGCAGTACCCACTCCAGACTGGCCCGAAGGTTAAATTTTTGTCCTCTGATTTACAGACAACTGGAAGTTACTGAWATCTTCAGTTAACAGAAAGCTCTGATATCCAGCCCTTAACTGCTCATCAGTCCCATGCAGAAAAGGTGCTGTTTAACCTCTTGTCCTAAGCAGGGCAGAGCTGCCCAATGCCTCAAGATGAAAGGTCCAGAGGAAAGGAAGGTGTCATGAGTTATCCTGACCTTGCCACAGGAAACTGAAGGACAGAGGAAGAGCCTGTGGTGYGGCCTGTATCCAGCAGCTGGATATTCCACGGGGCATGAATGGAGGTGCTCAGCCAGAGAGAAAATATGAGAAATAAGGCTGTATYTGTGTCAGGAGAGAAGAAGAGACAAAATGGAAAAAAATGCAGAAATGCTAAGCAAAGTGAAATCCTAGCTCTGTTAAATGTCAGTGAACCAAGGTCCTGCTGTCTTCATCAGGATGAGGATTAACCCCTGAAGGGGTTAAGAGGTGCAACTCAAAACTACCAGGATGATTCAGAGCACGCAGAAGCTGAGAGCTCTGCTCYGGGCTGCAGTAACTCAGCCAGCAGCTGCCAACTGGGAGCATTTGGCCATGGGCATGACAGGTGCCATAATCTCCTGTCATCATGTACTTTGTGTCTTTGATTATTTAGAGATCAATATACTGACATGTAAAGAAAAAGATACTTTCAATAGGACACTGTTGACCTCAGAAGATTTTTATATGGGAAGGCTTTTATATAGATAGAACTTCTCTGCCAAACACTAAGCTCAACAGAGTTCAAGATTTTAGGGTCTGAAGGGAACATTACAACCTTCTAGCCTGAGCTTTGAAGTAAACAAGGCTACAAAACTTCACCAAATAATTTCTGCATCAGGCCAATAGCTTCTGAATGGGTTATAGATCATCTCTTAAAAACTTTCAGCYTTGATTTGAAGACTTTATGTGACAGACAGAATTTACAACATCTATGGGCAGTAGCTCTGGTCAGTTTTCATGTCTCACCAGTTTTTATTAATACAGCAAATGTCTCTTCTTTTCATATTAGCATTATTATGTCTTATATCTATCTACAATACAACATATGGTGGAAAGATAATGTAAAAATGTCCAGTGACTGTGACTTCAGTAGATGACCAGTATTCCCCAAAGTTTAAAAGGACAGCTAAAATAAAAACATATTGAGAAAGACTTTTATTAAAAGCTTTTTTTCCACRTATAGGTTTTGAAAGGAGACAGGCAGGAGCTGCATGCACTTCCATTGCTGAGGAGACCAACAAAACTGATGCAGTGCTGGAAGAACCCAAAAGCCATTGCAGAGGAAATGGAAGGGCGCAGGGAGATCAGGTCTGATTTATCTCTTTGAATCATGAGAGAATCATAGAATGGTTTGGGTTGGAAGCTCCAACCCCTCTGCCATGAGCAAGAATACCACCCACTAGATCAGATTGCTCAGAGCCCCATCTATCCTGGTACTGAACATTTCCAAAGATGGGGCATTCACAACTTCTCTGTGCCTCACTGACTTTTGAGTAAAGAATTTCTTCCTAAAATCTGATCCAAATCTCTCCTCATTCAATTTAAAACCATTCCCCCTTGTCCTCCCACTGTCTACCCRTGTAAAAAGTTGCTCTCTTTTTATAAGCCACTTTTATCCACCGAAGTCCATCTAGACAAAGACAGCTTTGACCCCAATGCTGACAGAAACAACAAAAACCATGCTTCTGTAATAGAAATGGAGAAGCGACACTTCTTCAGACACTAAGGGAGTAATGACAAACATWGCTTCTACTGGGATTCAGGTTGTCCATGGACACAGAAAAAGGCTGGAGTAAAGTCAAGACTGAATAAAGAGCCATGTCAGGCCAATATGTGTGCCCTGGATGAAGGACAGATTTGCAAACAGAAATGGGAGAAGTGGAAAAGTTCAGCATCAAGTAAAAGGCAGAAGAACTGTGGAAGAAGACAAAGGATGAGCTGGATCGAAAAAATGTGAGAGAATTCATGGTTTCTGATGTTTCTCTCCCTAGGTAACCATCTAAATCATGTAACTAAGGAAAGCTCAAATAAAGCCACAATTTCTTCTGGTCAAGACAAGGTGAAAATATTGCCAGAAAATAGTTACAGARGTATTGAAATTCCAGAAAGTATTGATGTATAAAAAACTCTAGTATATGTCTATACCTTTATAGCTGGCAGTGGTCAGAACATTAACTTTGTATGGACTGCTTCAMATCACCCACCAAGGAGGCTCAAAATGATAAGGGTGACACATGCTGTAGAGTGGACCTCAGGCTGTTATTCTSTGGTGAACTTGTCAATTTGGGATGTGTGTCAGTACTGCTTGAGCCAGCACACCCAAAGAACCCCCATGCCCGTACCTGTCCTTGGGCAGGGATGCAGAGCTGGGTCTGAAGGAAAAAAGAGAGAAATGGTGGTGCACAAAAAGCTGTAAGAACACGGGATCTAGTTGAGAAACAGTCCCTCTGCATATCCACACCCTGTGCGAGTCCTGGGCAGTACTTTAGGCAGAACCACAGCGTTCACCTCCTCACACTGATGCTGGTACCGAACAGAAATAGTTACAACACTTCAGAGAGCTTCAGACCTGGTGGGTTTGGTTCTGCAGCAGACTGCAGCTTGGGGCCATGTAGCCCACACAATGCCATTCTGCCTTAGAGTTGATTGGAGAGGAACTGTTTCTGGAAAAATTTGAATCAATTTACAGAGAATTTGAGAATTAGAGAAATCATAATGAAGTTTGGAATAATTTATTGGCAAGCTTGATTTTTTTCAATTCAGGCTTGAATTTTTACCCTAACAAACCCAGTCTTGCTGAGGCATAGCTTGTGCAACTCCAGGTTGAATGCTGGGGAGGGAAATTGCACACCATACCTGAGGAGCCCCAGTGGGTGGAACAGAGGTCAAACCAAGTATTAGCTGATGCAGACAAGACAGAACCAAAGTTTGAGGTGGTAAGATTGCCTGAGATGTCACTGACAAGGCTTGTAGCACAACCTCCCCACCCAGTTTGGTATTCTGCTGATTAATGCATGAGCAGCATTTAGGACCCACGCTGTGGGCTGTTGGCCACTATCACAATACATGCTGTGCTGGAGYTGCTGCTTCACATTGAGTGGAATAGGGGAAGTTTCAGCTTTCTCTTGGTTTTACCGTCTTTAGTTGGGGTAATGCTGGAGGGGGTGAGGTGTGTGGTATCTTGGCCACCGGTGATGAAAGGTGAGTTAACGGGGAACCRTGTGGTTCAGAAACCATGCTCACGGGCATGGGTGTCTAGAGAGTCCCAAGCAACTGTTTCACGTCTTCTGATGGCATGAAGCCGAATATTTCTCCAACATGCAGAGCTTCCAGCTCTATATCTTCAAAGGACAATGTTCAGTTTTAGCTCTTAGGTTTCCTCTGAGGTCTCAAGTTTTTCTTTTGACCGCTTATTTCTCTCAGAATATGGGATGAGYAAGAAAAGCGGAGAGTCAACGGTTTCCCTACATGTAAGTTTTCTGTATCTCTCCTCCAGGGCTGGTGCCCCACGCCGTGCGTGTTTRTGAAAGCAGGGATGCCTCCATCCTTCCCTCCCTCCCTTCCTAACCCCACCTCCCCAGCACGGCTGGAGGCGAAGCGGGGCCGGGGCCTGCGGGGCCGGGCCGGGCCGGGGCGGCCCTTCTTTGCTCAGGGGTGGGCTCTGGCCCCAGTCCGCTGGCGGGCACCGGCCCCAGCCCGCCGAGCAGCGGCCCCGCCGCCGCCRGTGCCGGCTTTTTGGCATCCCTAATCGCGGCTGGCCCCTGTGATTGGCTGCGCGGCTCTGACCCCGCTCGGGCTCCCGGCTGGGCGGATAAAAGGGGCCTGAGCCGGGGGCTCCCAGGCATTCCCGGAGCGGGCACCAGGGACCGCTGGCCGCAGCATGACGGGCAAAGCGGGCGCGGCGCTGGCCCCCAGCCTGCCCGGCAAGCCCAAGCCCGACGGCGCGGCCACCGCCCCCGCCGCCCCGCCACCGCCTCCGCCGCCCCCCGCGGCTGGGGTCAAGTCCAGCTCTGGGCCCACCCCTCCCCGCTGCACCGGCTTCGGCATCCAGGAGATCCTGGGCTTGAACAAGGAGCCGCCGTCGCACCCTCGGGCCGCCCTGGACTCTCTGCCCGCCGGGCACCTGCTGGCGGCCCGCTCCGTGCTCAGTCCCGCCGGGGTGGGCGGCGTTGGCATGGGGCTGCTGGGGGCCGGCGGTATCCCCGGCTTTTACACCCAGCCCACCTTCCTAGAGGTGCTCTCCGACCCCCAGAGCGTCCACCTGCAGCCCCTGGCCCGGGCTCCTGGACAGCTGGACAGCAGCCAGACGGCCAGCTCAGGTAGGAACGTCCCCGGCCCCCGGGGACCCGCCGCGCCCCACCAGCGCCGCCGCCAGCACCCGGCATCCACCCGCACCCGCTGTCCCGGCGGGAGGCCACTTGCTCGGCTGGGGAAGGGAGATTTCGTTTCGATCCCGAGGATGAGGAGAAGGGCGGGCGGGACCGTATTTTCCCCGTTAGGGGCTGCGGCCGCGGTCTGACGGCGTGGCCCGGGGAGCCCGGCCTAGGGATGCGCGGAGCCCCGTCGGCGCGGTCCCCCGCGACCCCATGTCGTTACCGGAGAATTAGGGTTGTTTCATCACCCTTTTCCTAGACGGCAGCAGCCTCCCACAACKCTGCCTGCAGGCCCATTTCCGAGGCCGCCTCGGGTCCCTCCAGAGTGGCAGGCAGCAGCGCCGGACCCTGCCTCCGGGGGCAATCCCCGGCCTGCCTCCGGCAGCGGCTGGAGCGGTCCGACGCGGTGCCAGTCCCGGGCCGTGCCCGCCGCCCCGATCCGCAGCACGGCCCGCCGAGCAGCACGGGGCCGGGGCCGGGCAGGTGGCGCGGCGCAGCGGGCAGGAGTGGGAGCGGAGCGCGGCCGGAGCGCGCATCGAAATACGGGTCCCTGATCCGTCYCCCGGGTGCTCCTTCGGGGCAAAGGCAGCGTCGCCCTGCTCTTAACATCCCCCCACGGGCCGTGGCATCCCCGGGGAGCCGGGGGCCGCGGGTAGGCACCAGCTTCTCCCGGCGCTTGTTTTTGCTAGTAGTTCGATAAACCTCAATTTCTCCCTCCCCGCTCCGGTGTTCCCGCGGCGCAGTCCGGGATCCCGGGGCTGGGGCAGGCGGTCGCGGTTGCCCGGCCGCGGAAAGGGGGCTGCAGCTTTCCCGTTTTCCTACGGTTTGGTTGAGCTGGCCGGGCTCTGCGTTTTAGCAGCGAGACAACAGCAGMCTCAGCAAACGATTCTGGTGGAGAGAGGCGAGAGCTAGAGCCCGGTGGCGGCCCGGAGCCTTCCCTGGCTGAGTCGGATCGCCCCGAGCTGCCCGCACCGGCACCGGATCGGGAGCGGCGCTGGGGCCGCGCTGGAGGGAGCGGTCGGCGTCGGGCCCCGTCCGCGGCGCGATCGCAACGAAATCTTCGGCCGGGGCCRGCGGAGGGAGCGGAGCCGGCGGGCCCGGCTCTACCCGAGGGTGCTCTGGCGGGGAGGGAGCCCCAGCCCACAGCCGCTGCCTGTCTTTCCGCAGATTCCGAGGATGTGTCCTCCAGCGACCGAAAAATGTCCAAATCCTCCCTAAACCAGAGCAAGAAGCGAAAGAAGAGGCGGCACAGGTAAGACAGCGGCAGGCACCCCGCCCGCTCCCGTCGCCCCAGTCCCCATGGAAGCGGTCGCCGGCGAGCCCCGCTGCCGCGGCGGGGCCGACCCGCTCCGGCCTGGAGCAAAAGACGCTTCCCGGCCCCGGCAGCCGGAGCGCYCCGGCGCCCCTGCGGCTTCTCCACCGGGTCCTTCTTTTTTTTCCTTTCTCCCCGTCCAAAATAAATCGGAKATGAGGACGTGCCTATAGGGAGCGGGGGATTCGACCTCAGGTGTTATWTTATTTAATTTTTTCTGGCTACGGGTTCAGGTATCTTGAGTGGCAATCCTGAGCAGCCCATGAGCATCTAGGAGGAATGCGGATCACCCCTGTTCAGAAGGGAAAAATCATCAACCTGTCAGAAATAATAAAAGCCACTTCCAGCTTCACATGCAGCAATCTTAATACTGGCTGTCAACAAGACAGAATTSGTACCAATAATTTAAATATTTTACTACGTAAAAATAAATATTTTGCCAATAGATTAAATAGTTGGGAATCAGAGACAGCCTGCAAAGAAGCTGAAGAAAGCTGGGAAATTGTTTAAGGAAACGAACATCCACTTTGGGATTTCCTCTCAGCACGGTCAGGGAAATAGACTTTGCCTGAGTTCTCCCACAGTTAAAATGGAGTTGGTTTGCTTGCGCTTTATAAACAGAAACGAAGAATCCCGTTCTGGGTTCTGGCATTGCTGTGGCCAGAGCGCYAGGACAAAGGAAGGCCAAACACCATCCACTGAGGGTGATTTARGAATAATTAAATCAATCCTGCCACGATGCAGGAAAGGTGGATTAAAAGACGCTCCAGTGAAAGCTTAGCAGGATGCAGGGTGGAAGGAGACCGACTATCCCAGGAGACATCCTGCTATGTGTGCAACAGGAGGCTCGGTCTGGAGGGCGCATTTCCAAACACGGGTCCCCTCCCCAGGCAAATGTTCCCCGTTTGGGTGCTCTGGAGTAAGTACGAGTTCATTTTCTTTAYGCCCCAGTCAGGGCTGGGTGATGACATAGCTGGGACTGGTGTACAGGATCTGGATGAGAGATAGAAAACGAAATTCAGATTTGTTTTATTTTTAGTTCTAGACAGAAACAGACCTGCAACATTTGGCTACAGCTGTATATTCTGTACAGTTAAAACCTCTAGTTGTACCAAGGAACGGCTGGAAAACGACTGGCCAATAGCCTACAAATAGCTACAGGATAGAAACACCAAAAGGGGCAGTGGATTGTGTATTGCAAAAGGGACAGGGACTACCCCGGGATGAGCTAAAAAGGGAAAACTTCAGCTGAATGTCAGCGAAACTCTCCCGCCGGTGAGCCCTGACCGGCTTCTGCGCTCTTGTCKGGGGAAGATGGAGGGGAATGCTTGAAATCTAAACTGGATCAAAATTGGAATAATTTTTCCTATGGTCCCAGAGAAAGAAATTATATGATTCAGCRTGCCTCTGCTGTCCCTAGAGTTCACAGATTTGTCAGAGTTGAAGAAAAACTGTTTGAAAAGAGAATGGATTTAGGAGTGAATTTAAAGAACAGTCTGGTTGCGGGCAGGTCCCTTGCATTTGAAGGCTGCTTTTGTTAGTAATACTATCGATCTGGTAGAATCCTTTTGATTCTGTATAGCAGAGGATTTTTCTGAGATTTTCTCTGGAACTGCTCTCTGGAACTGAATGGCTTTTCTAAAATTTGGATGTATTTTAGAAAATKACTTTGTTTCCTCTTTCCTTCTGGGAGATACATGTTTCTTAGACTGAT